AATTTCATGTTATTCGTGTGAAATTTTATTATTTTACAGCATTTGTTAGATACAAGACACAATTTTCCATCGGATTTCTTAAAAGCTTTCATGAATATTTAAAAATAATAATATTGTTCAATAATAATATTTACAACAGTTTAAGTGTTTTTAATTTCGTTATTTCGGGATCAAATAAAAGGAATTTCATAATTTTATGATGTATAATATAAACTTCGAAATAAATATTTTGTAATTTTCATAAAAGTTTTGCGTTATCGCGAGGGGAGTGGTTAGAAATGAGGTAAATATCATTTATCTTAGGCATACCACATATGTCTTAATGGTCGAATTTCGCGCTAATTATGTAAAATTCGATAATCATAGACGAACTATCAGGTAAAATCCTCGGTATAACGTCATGTTTCTTAAAAATTTTCATGAAATATCATAATAAGTAGTAATTTATAAGAATTACGTTTACAACACTATAAAATACTTAGCAGGATGTTTATAACATGAATCCTGGTAAATTTCATCACATTAATAAACAATAGAACACTAGTAATAAAAAAAATTTCATGAAATAATGATAAGAATAGGAGTAATTAATGTAGTTACTATCATTTCACGTGCCATATGTACTAATGGTCGAATTTCACATTAGTGGTGCAAAATTTGATATTTATTTCAGTGTTATCAGATACAGGATTGAATTTCACATCCGATTACTTAAAGAATTTCATGAAGTATAGTAATTATTAATAAAATTCGAGAAAAATTGGTACAACTGTATATAACACTCTTAAATGCGCAATTTCGGAGTTAAATGTATAAAATGTATAATCTGACTTTAAAATGAAATTCTAAAAAATTTCTTAAATTAAATTTCATGTTATCACGACAAGAAAGGTTACAAACGAAGTAATTATCCTATAGAATCACGTGCCATATATAAATATGGCAGAATTTCTCATTAGTGGTGAAAAATTTAAACATTGTTCAAGTGTTATTAGATACGAGACACAATTTCACATCCAGTTTCAAAAAGTATTGCGTGAAATATAATAATAATTAATAAATTTTGAGAGAAATTGNACATAAATTTTTTCACCTGCTTTTATTAAACATAATTTTTCATAAACAGAGGAAAAGGCTTATTTTATAATTAAATTTCACGTTTAAATTTACATCCGAAAATCTGCCAACAGAGATGAAATTGTCGTAGAACTGAAATTTTGTTGAAAGCGGTTTATCAGAGAAATAAATACATAAATTTTTTCACCTGCTTTTATTAAACATAATTTTTCATAAACAGAGGAAAAGATAATTTTTATAATTAAATTTCACGTTATTCCCACAAGAAAAGGTAGGAATGTAGTAGCTATGGTATAGAATCACGTGTCTTATATAATAAATGGCCGAATTTCGCGTTAGTGACACGAAATTCGGTACTTACACAATTGCTATCAGATACAAGTTCAACTTCTCCATCCGATTTCTTAAAAGTTTTTACGTAACTTTATAAAAAGTTATAGATTCAAGAAGTTTAGTTACGATCCCATAAAAACTATCGTAAATATGTTATTTCGGGGTTAAACTCTAATATAACGATTCGGTCGATTGAAATTGATTAAATGATGCGTGGAAGTTTCATTCAGACGTATCTAGTGGTTAGAAAAAGAAAAGAAATTCTTCGTTGAAAAGTTAGTACGTTGCCACCAATAGTGATCTAAGTTCGGATATTACGCAAGAATGCATTCTGTAAGAGGCTCATCTGAATTTAAAACAAGGTTCACCCGCTTCTGAGGACAGAGAGAAGAGGGGGAAAAGCGTTAAACCAGAAAATCCGGCTGGGGTTAATTATTTCTTTATGCTTAGAATTCCAGGTGACGCCTTCTACCTGGATTGTCAGGTGAAGTCAGGTGGAAAAAAAAGGGGTTGTCTAGTCACCGTCCTGAAGCTAAACTTGGCCTTTCTCCACCAAAAAATCTAATTTTATAACCCTGCGCTGATAATTTTTCTTTCTTTCGAACCCCCCTTCCTCATAAAATAGAGTTTTATGTGGGTCATTACGCAAGTACCATAAAACAATGAATGGCAAACACCTGCCAACTCGTTCTGTGTGTGTGTCAATTTTGGGGTGCTCTAACCAAATATTTAATGAGGTGCACGTTCTAGTAAAAGACGAGCGGTCGCTAGCGATTATTTTGGCTCCCCTCCACTAAAAATTCTTCGAAATGTGAGCCCAAATAAAGTGCTATGGTGTGTTATGTATACCCGATACTTGACATTACTGAGTGTCTGGCCTTATTAATGAACAGGATTTGCCGGCTTACGCAAGTTTGTCAGTTAAGACGCCATTTTACTGTGTTATACATGGTCGTATACAAGATTATATTATTATACCAGTGCCTGTCGTAAACCCCATTAACCTCTATGTTAAATTCTGTATGTAAAAATTGTTAATGTGTGCCTTTAATTCAGCACATAATTGGTGCTGCTGTTGGAACGTACAATTGATGCGGTGTTAACAAGAAGAATAACACAAATAATACCAGATGGTGCCTGCTGTTAGAAATTAGCCTTTAGTTTTGCCTCGGGTCATCAGTTATGTTTACAAAGCTGTTCCTTTGTTTAAACAGAGCAGTGTTTATCTTCTACTGGTCAGAACACGAAGAGGGTACGTTCATAAATAAACACCATAACACTGAAAAAATGTCATACAAGATACGCTAAGACATTAAAAATACACTCTATACGCCCCGAAATTATACAGTAAGCAAATATAATGCATTAGTGTCTTTTAATTCACGCGTACAATAATTATATAAGCCCTTTACTTGCCGGTTTTGTAAGGTATAGTGTTTACCTTGTAATGCTCTGAACTAAATGAGTAACCCCTAAAAAATACAGTCGACCCCCCTATAACACTGTTGATTTTTCCGTTTTATATGAATTCCATGTTGTACGAGTCACTTAGATTTTACAAATACGTAAGCCATTCACAGCCCAGCACACGTATTTGTAAAATCTAAGTGACTCGTACAACATGGAATTCATATAAAACGGAAAAATCAACTGTGTTATAGGGGGGTCGACTTGTATAGTATATAAATCATAGAAGACACATCCAGATCGAACGTGGGTTCGGATCTCATTTTCAGCCATTCCCGTTTACCTAATTTAGAAGGAATTATTCTATACATACCAACACGTATAGTGTGGTGTTATTTGTTCACTGGCGTGTAAAATAATTATACACATTGCTAAATTTTATAATACAGGTTATTTATAGACGTTAAGCTGTTACAGTATTGCTGACGTGTTCTTTGTTTACTTTGTGTTAAAGATCAATACATTGTAGCAGCGTAAACACTGCGAAAAGTTATTAAACGTACCTTCTCCCTCTGTTATACCATTGTAAAGCGTCCATTAAACGTTAATGGGAAGACAGGTTTAGTGTAATTTGCCTATAGGCCCTTTCGATAAAAGCTGTTTACAGTACAAGAAATTGAATAAATGTGTTTATACTTAAACACCAACAGCTGCAGTATATAACACGGCGAAATAACGAAAATATACCCACTCCCCATCGGGGGGGAGGCATTTAATTCTTTAAAGTTCTATCGAACATCAAACAAGCGTGACGTTCACAACAAACTTCGGTCGTAACACGAGGGAGGAATGTCTTTTTTTTATTTTTTATTTTGTAAAAAGCGGATGCACCTTCCACTTTTCAGCTATTTCCATTGTTGCCAAATTGTTGATGCCGTGATCCGGCCCCACTTTGACCTTCAAACATCCGGTAAACATCACGTGACCCCGTCCAAAGGCGCCGAGCCGTCTGCACTGTCGTGACGTTACACGAGTTGTAGCGGAAGTTGTTGTGCCTCGGGCTTATGCTTTCCTTTGTGTACAGCAGATGGGAGATCTTGTGTGGTAAACACGTTACGTTCCGACCCGTCCGCCATTTTAAAACGCCAGATAAACAAAAAATAATAAAAATGTTTATTCCATTGCGAAATTTACTACGCGTCATAAATGATAAACACATGAATCACACACAGGTTTTCTTGTTTACTCGGCCTACGAATTTGACGTCACACTACTGTTTGTAACAGACAGCGGTTTGTTTATTAACATATTTCTTAAAATAACACCTAATTTAAACGAAATCTATCGATTAAGTAATGAAAGACGCGTAGATAACAAATTTAAACACTAGATACAGTTGATCCCCCCCTATAACAGTGTTGATTATTCCGTTTTATATGAATTCCGTGTTGTACGAATCACTTAGATTTTACAAATACGCGAGCCTTTCACACCCTGGCACACGTATTTGTAAAATCTAAGTGACTCGTACAACACGGAATCCATATAAAACGGAATAATCAACAGTGTTATAGGGGGGTCGACTGTAAAGGGAATTCTGGTGTTCTCTTTAGTGTTTTAAATGAATAATTCAAACAAGGTTCTCGTATTATTTCTTTTCTTTTATTATTCATCGAATCTTCTCGTCAGGATCTCTAAACAAAACATTGAGATCAGAAATACACATTTCTCATGTTACAACACATGAAAGGATTCGTATAAAATAAACAGAATTGCGTATGTTCGACAGAACTATTTAAAAAAAAAACAAAACACCCGCAACACATGAAGAAAACAAAACACATAGTTGTAGTGTCGTAGAACAATTGATGGCACTTGGTGTACGTCGAAATTCGTAATTTGTTCCGAATGTTACGGGTGTAACTATGCAAAACAGAGACCACTTTCCCCCAAAAAAAGAGTACATAATAATTGTACATCTCTCTGAAGAGAATATACACAACTAAGTCCTTTTTCTGGGTCATACCCCCCAGTTTTTTTTGGAATAACAACACACTAAAGATGAATAAAAAGACAGGGTTGTTGCGTCTAAAGATCAGAATACAAATGTGGAATCCATCACACACTATACACATGCACGCACACATGTATCCACCAAAAAAAAAAACTATTGTTTCTAAATTTTAGTATACGTTACTCACGCATTGATTGGTCCCATTATCTTCGTCGTCATCCATTTTTAGTGTTTTTGTACTACTACTAGTAGATAATCCTAATTGTAGCCTGTGTACAGCTTCTTTGATAAGTGTCCCTTGTTTTAGTAGTTCTTGTAGGAGTACGTAAGGATCCGATTGTTTTTTACAACCAATCTGGCAGTTGTTTAGGTACCTGTGTGTCCTGATGGGGATGTTGTACGGTGATACACGTCTTTGTTTTGTACACACGACGTGACACGGCGCCGATTTCAGGCGTAGGTTGTGTTTAATAGCAGCAACCAGTTCTTCCACGTCTGTAGTGTTGTAGTTTGCTGTTGTATTTGCTTTGTCTTCTACCATCCTCTCCTCTTTGCTTGGCATGTTGAGCGAACGACACGACAGAATAAATCTCCAACAATTTCTTTTTAAAAAAAAATCCCTGAGGAAAAAGCGTCGCGTCACCGAACACAACAGACCGGTATTTTGAACGACTTTTGTTGTGGGATGGCCTCCTTGCAACCTAATCCGCACGCAAACAAAATAGTCCCAGTAGAAACACCACAAACACCGAACGATTGCCCAATTTCTTCGTTCGTCCTGACGAATTGCCAATGAAATTCGGCCTTTCAAAGCCGTTATTCGGTGCGATGAATGACGTACGACACACCAGAAAGCCGTGTTAACAATTGGGTAGTGTACTTAACACACCGGTTGTGTGTAGTAGTGCGCGTGCTGTCTTCTAACGCATGCGTTGTGAAGTGAGGTAAACGACCTGGCATCAGAACGAGGATCGATGAGTCCCGTCATTTCCGGGGAAAGCTTTTAAATTTTTCTGTAATACCAAAACTAGACACAACCCTTCTGTGACGTCATACTAGAAGAGCCATTTCGAATATTTAAATTAGGGTCACAACTTTTCGTATCTAACCAGACCATCACAACAGCAGAAAAGAACACATAAAAAAAAGAAAGAAATGTGTTTGTATGTGTGTCTGTTTGCTGATATTTATACAAAAGTCGTCCCCGTTTTTAGGACTTTGTTTACAAGATACCGCAAATGACACGGTTCTCGTGTTATTTGCTGTGTTTAGCAAAACAAAAGTACGAACACAAGACGTGTGTCTACGTGACGAGGAAGGTTGAATTCGTGTAAGTTTTTTTAGGTCAGAAAATAATATTATTACGTGTTTTAAAAATACTTCAAAGAAAAAGCGCTATCGTGTTTATTTTTGTAGGGAGATACTTTCACCTGTGTATCAGACACAAGGAATTTCAAACTTGGCCAATAAGCTTGTTTGTAAACAAATCGTTAAGTTTGAAATTTCTGGTGTGACGTTGGCAGCTTTCCAGTGTTTTCTAATCCGTGACGTCACACAGCCGATCAAATTTAAACAAAAGAGTAGTGTTTTGTTTCGAAATGCCGACAAATTTCAATGAAATATCGTATAATTTTAAATGTAAAAAAACTAATTTTAGATTAGCGATGAGGTAATTTATAATGAGTCATCATAATAAACAATACTTTCTGTGTGACGTAGAGATTATAAGACCTACATTTAGTGTGTAATTAATGGCGTTTAGTACACTTGTATAGTGTACACTAAAGTGCCGATTTCTGACTAATTTCACAAATATTTCATACTTGTTACACACACAAAAGGATACATGTGATGGAGTAACAACAAATATAACTGTTACTCCTTTGTATTTATGTTTGTGTGGTATGCAATTTATATTAATTTGTAGATAGACAGTAAGGTGTAGAGCATAGTTATATGACATAAACTTCTGTCAATGAAACAAAGTATACAAAATGATGAGAAAAAGCATATCAACACCAGTATAGAAACACTTGGTAAGTATGTCCATTGTATTGTTTACAGATTGTAAAAGAAAATGTTAATTTGTCATCATATTTTCATCCCTGTCTTTATAGAGAAGTTAGGGCCACTGAGAGGTTGTATGGGGTTAGAGCAAGCGAGTTTTGCCATTCTTTTAAACAAGTGAATGTTTCTGTAGTGGTAGAAACTGCTATGGCTCCAGATCGAGGGAATAATCCCCGAGAGAAAGACCGATAAATACGCCGTGTCTATATAAACAGTTAGTATGCCCGTTTCGTATGTAGTAAGAAAGAGTTGAAGCTGTATTAATACCCTTATCTTCCCCGTAGCATCGACAAATATCTTCTATCCTTCGTAGACGATAGATCAAAAGTGATGAGAGATGCGACGATATACAGTCGACCCCCTATAACACTGTTGATTATTCCGTTTTATATGGATTCCATGTTGTACGAGTCACTTAGATTTTATAGATACGTGAGCCGTTCACAGCCCTGCACACGTATCTGTAAAATCTAAGTGACTCGTACAACATGGAATTCATATAAAACGAAATAATCAACAGTGTTATAGGGGGTCGACTGTACAGTATATCCAGTCACTTTTAAGTTATGTTAATGCCAGTCTTCTGTGTAGAATTACTCATTATGTGTCTGTTTCACAAATGGCAAGTTGAAGATATATATCAAATATCAGCAAATATATCCTGGAATTTCATATTTAATGGGTAACAAAACAGTGTTTTGTTGGTTTTAGAACATGTAAAGTTGTCTTTGTCGGTAAACATCAACAGTTATTCTCTTTATTAAACTGCAAAGTGGTTATAAACAGGGATGACCTTAATTAGCCTGAAACTAGATGATGAGATGTAAACATGGATCAGTAACTTGGCATCCATTCTTGAAACAGAAAGGGATCAGTTTTGTGTTACAGCTTGCCTTTTTTCTGGTTTAAAGGGAACTTGATGTAAAAGATAGCTTAAGATTACCATTAAACAGATCAAGGGTGAACAGTACAATATGAGATATTGTGTTTTTGTTAAGAGAAGTCATTCATACTGTATAATGCAAGTTAGAAAAACCTCTAAATTGTAAATTGTTCAAGACTTAAACATGAAAAGCAAGCTCAAATCTTCAACAAATTGGATCCCATATTGGAGGCTTCTTTTATCTCCTGGTTTTCATTTGGGTATCTTCATAAGTCTGGCCTTAAAGGTCTCCTGATACTTCTTGTCTCAAGTATAATAGTGATTGCGACTATTACAAGCATGTGTTATACTAGAACACATGAGCCTTGCCAATAGGTCTCCTGATATTAATTTTTGTTTGCTCTACGAATGGCCGTGACTATCCAAATCCTTGAATTCTTTTTACGTAGAATTGGCTACACCGAATAGAAAAAATAGAATTAAAAATAAAAGACCTGTCAAGTAATTAAAGAGTCGTTACTTTGACCTATTTATAGACACCTTTACTTTATTAAGCAATACCGTAAAACGGTATGTGACTCTGCTTTTTAGTTATATTTATAACTTTTTCTGGATAATGATCTATACTTAGGCTCGTAAAAGTTATTTGTAAATAATAGTGCCTTGAGTTTCGAAATTTGTCGGAGATAACGTTTATAAACGACGTCGATAAAGTATTTACGATACGAGTTATGTTAATGATAACAAATTTAAATTGGTACTGATAAGGTTTTATTATGAAAGAGTATTTTGAATTTTGCAAATGAAAAGTATTATGATGCTTTAAAGACAGTGTGTTAAATATGGAGAGAGGTTATGCTTTATAGAATTATATCAGTTTACATGTTTGCTTCATTATCATGTATAAGCATTATCAAACTTTGTATGCTTTATCCTCAGAAATGTATGTGATGTAAAGAGAAACATATCCTTTATTTCTTTAAGTTTGTGTATGTATAATTGGTCCATACTCTGCTCATCCTTGGAGGTTTAAAGAGCCCATGGATGTATCTTATTCTTGTGACACAATGAGGCTCACTGTTGTTTTTGAAAGCATACATCACATCAATATCTTTTTAAACTCATGTGTATGTTTGTGATATAATGAGGCTGTCATATCTTATTTACCACAAGTAGAAAGCCCTTTTGCCCTTCAAAGTTTATGCCGCATAAGTGTAATGTAGGGCATACTAAAACAAATTTGTTCAAAGTTTAGTATTAAAGCTAAGTTTACTTGCATAAATGGAGAGCAAGGAATCAACATATCATTACTTTATTTGTATTTTAAGGAAAGAGATAGAATGAAACAAGACTACGCATCCTGGTATGTTGCAAGATTAAAAATCAGAGTCACGATTACTTTTCTAAACAACAAAATTATATATTTTTAATTGATATGTTTCTTATAACCTAATTATGTAATTATAGCCTTGTATAAATGACAACTCATAAAGGTTTTGGAACTGCTTGATGCGTTCAAGTTTTATAAATCTAAATTAATATTTTATAGTGTACTAAGTAGCGGAAGGTAAATATAACAATAGGAAAATGTGATGAGAATAACAGTAATGTATCTGTATTAAATTTGTCAATATAAATTACACCTTACTTATGTTAATGAGATGAGAAATTAGAGCCATTTGCAAATACATAAGAATTATTTTCAGAAAATGTGATGACTGGGGATAAACACAAATGATGAGTGTAATCTTATGTCATCAAAGACTCTCCCCCCTCCCTTTGTCAGCAATCTTCAGATATGAAAAAAATTTCTTTTACCATAAATTGCTGATGTAGTAGTTTAATTGTTGAAGTTTAACACATAATTTTGTACTTACTTAAGATTTAAAAACAGAAAATAGGTGACAAAGATGTATTATAGTGATTTTCTGGTCTGTGGACCACCGAGGAAACTAAACAGTGACAGGTGCTCTGCAGACTGTCCTATAAAAATGACTAGGACAGTCTGTAGAGCACCTGGCACATGTTAATTTTATACTGTTTAGTCATTTGAAAGACATTTTTATGCTCTTGCATCAGGTTACAGAATAAACAAAATAAAATTGTATGTATTGATGTCTTTGACAATATCATATATTTGTCATATATTAATGTATATTTATCTATGTATATCCAATATATGTGTATATTATATCGATCCCCATTCAGCCTTTGAGTCGTATGTTTGTTGTGTACGTATTGTGTTTATATATTTAAATACTCCAGGAATTTTTCATTGACGGTCTATCCCGGATACTGTATGTCATCCCATTGTGTCCTGGCTAAAATCATAATTGGCATGGAAAGGCTTGCAAAGGCCTGTAGGGCAAAAATAAAACAGTATTCTTATTTATAAATGCAAATTATATTGTTTATAATTTTCTTTATGTAAATTTATGGTTTTATATGAAAATTTATCAAAGTTTATACACATGATATGTAATTTACACATGGCAATTTCTTAATTTTATATAAAATTTAATATCTTTGGCCTGAATGCATCTGTGGCCTGAATCCATTATAAATTAAATACACTACTGTTTATTCTACAACTATTTTGTTTTCTTCTTCAT